CTCCGGAGTCATCGAAGAGGCGAAATCCAGGTCGGGGCGTAGATTCGCGTGGGAAGAGCGCTTGCCAGTTCTGGTATGGCGCCCCGGGTTTGCTGGTCCCGTGAGGACGAACACGAAAAGGAACTGATTTGATCACTCTCGTGACTTTATCGTCAACCATCTTTGCCGTCACGGCGATGGGGCCATCGAGAGTTCGGATTGTTTCCGGGACGGTGGCAATTTGCATGGCAACCAGATTTGATGCTGGTTCCAGTTTGATTCCAGATTCGCTCCGTGATGTGGAGGAATCTAGGAGCTCTGTTCGAGCGAGTTCATCCTTTGCGGTTATTGCAAAGCCGGTCTTTACCCGCTGAACCAACGTGATATTGTTGGCAGAAGTTCCCAGCGCCTGAGACACCGCTAGCCTTACGCCTGCTGGGGAGAGGAGACGGTGGGTGTGGTTGTATGCTAGGTGTAAAAAAAGTCGATTCACGACTTTTTCACTCGAGTTCGCACTTTTTGCTTTCTGGGTTGGCGTTTCTACCTTTTTTGTCGATGGCCCTGCGCTGCTGACTAGGCCTGCCCGAGCTACGGTGGCCCAAGTTGTCTTTGGGGCCGGAGCCTGGGTTTTCGTAGGGTTAGGTACCCTAATTTCTGGAGCTCTCGGTGGAAGAGGATTGGTGGGGCGAGCAGGTAGGACTGGCGGTGTGCTTCCTGGACCGGATTGAACGAACTGGCCAATAGCTGCTCGTAGGTAGACTTTTATACCGTCTACGAATTCTTTATTATCGCCGATCGAAAGAGGCGAAAGTGCTGCTTCAACACTGTTTATCGCAGTCGAACAGATGGCGAGGCGGGCCGTAATTTGCGTCATCCGTCGCTTTTCGGCCTCCATCACGGTTTGCAGCTCCGGAGGAAAATCCATAGCTGATGTCGAAGCTGTGCCTTTGGAAGCTGGCACAGCGAATTTTCTTGTAGAAGTTTCTGCGTGTTCTGTCATCTTCTCTCGGACGACTTCTTCCCTTTCCTTTCCTTGAGATGCTTGCCTCTAGGGCAAGCTCGATGGGGGTATGGGTCGGGACCAATTTTTGCTGACGTGACGGGCTCAGAATCAGTCATCTCTTTGTCGGGAAGGTTTGGAGACTTCCCTTCGATGAAGACCTTACTCGCAAACATGCTTGAAAGTTTTTGCGCGAGGCCTGGCGTTTTTGCGGGAGCCCTCGGGCGGACTCTCGCGTTGTCCAACATTGCGTTGGGGAGCTTTTTTCAAACAGGTGGCATGATTAAAATGCCAGCGAATCGATCACAATTTATTGGAGGAATGCGACGAGCGCGAAAGGGAGGGAGAGGGGGAAAAAGTGAAGTCTCGAATTTTCGAATTTCAAAAAATTGTGGTTGTGTTTTGAGCTAGCACGACGTAAAATAATAAACAAAACGATTATAGCAGGCACCGAAAAATCTGCGACACCGATGGTCGAAGTAGGTGAGGCATTCGATGCCTTCAAAGCCCACGCTACGACGTTACAATCGAAGCTGAAGGCTTCACGAATGGAAGAACGGATGCTGGCCTTAGAGAAGGCAGTCAAGAAGAATCTCGAGGAGCCGTCGCACAAGACGGCTGCTTCGGCAGTACAAGGGATGGGAGGGCGACCCACATACGCCTCAATCGTCGCGCCGCCAGCGACTAAAGCGGCTGTACGAATACGTATTAAAGGAGCAGAAAATATGGAGCCGGCAGCGCTCCTAGACCAGGCGAAAATACACATTGAGGGGGCATACGCAGCAAGGAAGCTGCGGAGCAACGATACGGAGGTGTTTGTGCAGTCGGTCTCTCAGCGAGACGCTGCCTTAAGTATGGCGCGGCTAAAGGAGTTCTGCGTCTTGAAACAGGATTATCCTGTTGAGATTTTGGGGATCCCCTTGGGGACATTTATAAGAGGAGGTAAAAATCCAAATAACGGCGAGTTTATAAACCAAGTTGAGGCAGAAACAAGAGTTCGGATCCCCGAACTAAAAATCAACAGGGTGAGATGGCTCTTTGAGGGAAAGGAGCACCGATGGATGGGAGCTAACGGCCATACTTGAGGGTCAATCGTCACGAGTCTGCCGACAGAGGCACTTCAACGCGAAGTGATAAGAAACGGCATTGTATACAACTCAATGCTGTACACGGCCCAGCTCTGGTCACCCCGTGCTCAAATCAAATAGTGCTTTAACTGCTGTCAATTGGGGCATACCCAAGCCTCGTGCAATAGGGTAAGGAGATGTGGTGAGTGCCCGAGAACTCACCAGACCAGAGACTGCCCGAGGAAGTCGGTGCTTTGCTGAAACTGCGGCAAGGACCATAAATCGTGGCAGAAAGGGGCGTGTCAAAACTTCGCGTCATACAAGGCCAGCGTGCAACGGGCACGGTATGAACTCATGGAGAGAACGGCGGAATACAGGAAAGGCGAAACATCAACAACGGCATCTACTACAACAACTACGGCAAAAACTACAGACGACCAAGGGTTCACACTGGTGTTCCACCAAAAGCCAGAGGTATTCAAGAGAGGGTCAGGACGCCCGCGCAAACAGCTCCTGGTCAACCCACCACCACAATTATTTGGACCATCGGGGTTAAACTCAAGACCAAAGTCGTGTCTTTTTAGCACGCGAGGGCAGGGAAAGGATGGCGAGGCCGAGTATAATTTTAGCTAGTCCTGTCTCGGACTGATGGCCAATTGCACTTCCTACAGCTAACGAAGGACTATAGATGAATACAAAATTAATAGGGGGAGGGGGTTTTCACCGCAAGGGTTTCTCCTCATGTAAATATATAGATAGGTTCATAGCCGCCTGCATGGGCCCACAGGGCGCCAAATCGGGTTAAATGAAATCAAATTCAAAAAAATAAACAAAACGAATGAGTAAGTATGCCATCCGTCTGCTCTTGGATATGCCCACAGCGTCTAGCTCGGCAAAAATCTTTAACTTCGGCAAGCTCGCAGTGACCTGGAGAAGGAGGCCACGCGGCCAAAATACGTCGCCTGGGGAAGAAGCTGTTCGATGGTGCCCAGGCCACGCAGTTATTCTTGGAAACGAAGTTGCCGACGCTCTCGCTAAAGCTGCCTGTGCGGCTCCAGGTCCACACTCAGAACTCTCCATTGCGAGGGCCAAAAGGGAAGTTAAAGCCCAATACGAGGCTTATTTTGCACTTTATTGGGCAGAAAATGCACCTTCTAGATACAAAGAACTAGGAGTTGGCCCTAATACAAAATCACCTTTGAGCTCGCCCGTCTGGGGCGACGCGCACTAGGATATCTACTAGCTTCACGGTCCGGTCATGGCGACATCGCGGACTACCACCGACGGTTTCAGCATGAAAACGCCATTCTAACCTGCACGTGCGGAGAAGAGAAGTCCCCTAACCACTTTTTCTATTGCCACCTCGGGCAATACCAAGCTCAGCTCCACAGGGCACAGAATTCTAATCCCAGCATATCTTGGGCTCTTGCTTCGGCAGAGGGAGTTGATGCATTCAATAACTGGGTACGTGACACAGATTTCTTCGAAAAGGCACAACGAAAAGTCTGATTCGATCGAAATCACGATCTGATGTAAACAATCTTCTCCTTTTATTTATTACTTTTTCGTGAAATCTTTTCTTGATTTAGTACCAACTGCATAGCATGAGATTCGGTGGACGGACGACCTCCATGTATACTATAATCATGGAGCGCAGGATGATAAGATCCTAGCTATAATTTGCTTTGTTGGGTCTGTGTAGGCGCCCACACGTCGAGTAGTTTAATTTTGACTGGGATAACCGGTACGTGAGGAGCTCACGTGCTGTGCGCGGGCACGACGTTAAATATTTTGAATGTGATTACATTATCCTGATTTGGCGCCCTATGGGACCATGCAGGTGTCTACAATCTATAATGTTTACCCGGGAGAAAACCTTTATGGCGAAAACCCCCCAAATCTTTCTACTTGTTGTCTTTAGTTTTCACATATTTTCTTCAGGAAGCGCAGTTACACTATAGTGCCATCCATGTGAACTAACCAGATCATCTCTATCCACCCCAAGCATTATTTGACCTTTTCCTTTCCCTCAGCAGCATTTCGACCGCCTTTGTCATCTGGAATTGCTCTATCCAACCATGATTTAGGATCTACTGTGTTTTCCTTTTGATGTCTCCAGGATTGCTTATCATCGCTTCGTAGGACCGATCTTTGGCTTGTCTCTAGATCTCAGCTCTACCATTTGACCATCGGCGGCAGGACGTAATCATATGCTTGGGGTTCTGTGATTGGTAGCCACGTGGAAAATCTGGACTTAATACTTCGGGTACTTTTCTTCTGTGTAAATACGAGTTAAGCCCCATGTGCTCACTTCATGTTTGCATTGCCAAACTACTTTGGGCCCTAGTCAGGTTACGATGTTGGAAGAATGGTGAGCCTTGAAAACTCGTTTTTGCCGTCCGGACTTTCCACATTGGTAAAATTTGGCTGCTCTCCAAGTTTCGGAATCTGCTGTTGCTAACTGCCGAGACTTCTGGGTTTGTTTCTGCTTGGCGGCGTTAAACATTTAAAATTAATAAATGAATGAGTAAGCATATTAGGCATATGATTGGCAGGTAAACGAGTTGACAGGGTATTAAATGAGAGGTTTTCCCACTGCTGACTAATAAACACACATAGTAACAAAGTCATTCATGTTGCACTCTCGATCACACATTATCTTAGCTGTCAAGCGCAAGTGTACGTTCCCCATTTCATATACCAAGTAAAACAAACACTGCGTACAAACGTTCAGTCTTTGTTCTCCAACACATACTTTAATAAGTGACATTGGCTTCATTGCAAATCAATTATTTGAAGGCAAGTCATTTCAGTATCTCACAATCGCTTGGGAATACGCGCATCAGTTACCCTTAACCTCCTAACTAGAGCAACAATCAAAGACTAATTACTCGGCAATCAGTAGATTCTCACTTTTGGGTGAAACTAATTACGTTGCTCACTACACGGCTGATATGAAAATTCTAACTCTTAACTTTTTGCAATGCGCTGTAAAAGCTTGTAAAGCTAGCAGTGCATCTTTTCCTCTTCACCCAAAAGACTGCGAGCTCGTTTCAGACACTATTGCTCCTAATTTAACGCTTCTTAAGAATCTACTACCACGTATTGAATGGAAGGCATTGGGAGTTACAACAGACGAACTTGGATTTGCAATGAAACTTCCAACCGATCCTCCAACTGCCATTACCTTAGAGGCTGATGAGCAGTTACAGCGGGACCTGCACACCCTCCTGATCGAGACACAGATTAATGAGGGTTCTCTGATCTGTGGTAACTGCGGGCACGAATACAAAATTCGTGAAGGCATCGCGAACTTCCTTTTACCAAACCACCTTGTATAAAATTAGCATTGTATGTTTTAACAAAAGTTCAAGTTTGGAAGTATTTTCGAAATTAAATCTAACTTTATGCAGCACTATTAATCATGCTAAGAGCCAATAGAAGTGTCCCCTTAATCTTGAGATGACGCTAAGGGGCAAATGACGGTAAAAATTCTCCCACAATCGTAGAACAATTACCATTTCTGACCAATGTGCTAGATAGTCATAGACTCAAGTAGTACAAAAGAAACACACACACACATTACCATTTCTGATAGCCTAAAACTCTGGAACGGTGATGATTCTGTCATGTACAGTGTTGAATCTATCTCATTCATTCTCAGGCTAAGCTCTTTACACGTACAGCCTGCTTTATCTATCATATCATTCCTCTCACTTTCTCAGTAACCCAGAACTGCCACCGTTGTACCTGGTTTAGTTGTTTTATAGCTAGATAGCTGAATACACATTGAAAGAAAAAAAACATATAGTCTAGAGTCAGTGGTGTTATTCTAAAATATCGGAGCCTTACATCAATGCCTTCAACAAAATCTGAATGTCCAGCAGAGATTCATTCTATGCCTATACCAATTTGAGCAAGATATAAACACATGTCAAATACTTCGAGAGTAGTACCTGCGTATAAATTTGAGGTTTTTAATCCACAAAAGTTTCTCAAGTACAAAATAGATTTGGCCCTGACTTGTACGCTTAACTGCACAAAAATACTGTCACGAAATTGGGCATTGAGATGGCCGAGAATTGGACAACACGAATGATTGAAGGCCGCAACATGAATTACTATCTTATTCATTTATAACAATTGACGTCGTGCCCGCGCACAGCACGTGAGCTCCTCACGTTCCGGTTAGCCCAGTCTAAATAAAACTACCCGACGTGTTGGCGGCTGAACAAAACCAACAAAGCAAATAAAAGCCAGGATATTATCATCATTACTATCTTATTAGTTAGATGAGCATGTGTATACTCTCAAAGATGCCAGGTGATGCGAGAGGTGTGTTTATTGTATTACTTGAGTCATAGAATATCTAGCACATTCGCCTCCTCTCTGACCCAGGCCACACCTTGCACAGTGCTCCTTGCCTCTTTTGTTGCTAAAAAGATCATTGATATATTGTATGTGATAAACAGCCATTCAGCTCGGTGTTTACTCATGGAATTCAGCCACCTTTTCCACGGAACATTTTACCCAAAAATAAAATGGTAGGAATGGAAACTATTTGCACAGTAAAAATTCCTATAAAAATGTAGTCCTAGTCAGACGAAGCCTAGACACCAATCATACGAGGTGCGCATATTCATCTGTATCCCCCTTTTTTGTAACATCAAGAGTCAACTTAATTCAATCCTCCATCTCCCTATCGGGTGCTGGGCACGCTCCGGAAACTCAACGGATGGCTTCTCATCCGTGATCAAGGCTTGGTGATTAGTAGAGCTTCAAACCTACCGTCTAATCTGATCGGGGTTAGCTTCATGATAGTGGCGATAGGGGGATGTGTCGAGTGATGAAGGCGATAAAGACTAAGAAAGTGATTTTGAATCGTCATCGAGGTGAGGACTTTTTTACTCAATCTCGGCTCTGCAGTGAGAGCCGGAGGTTCGAAGGGGACGCCATTGACAGGTGTTGAGAAAAGTCCCCTAATGGAATCCAGAGTATGAGTGTCGCTTACGTCAAGAGAGTCATCCAACATGTATAGAAAGCACCGATCATGTGTCAAGGCAAGATACAGCCTCTTTTGGATAGAAAAGGTAAACGGGTCAAAATGACTGGGATCAGAACCTTGTAATTATGGATTTGATTGGTTTCATCTTCGTGTAGGCACATGTCTAGCTCGTCAACTGGTTGTGCAAGCAAGGGTGCTATCCAATGATCTTCTTTGAAAGTCAAAATTAATGGATATTGTTTTCAACTTTACAGGAAAAGTAAGTGGGTCCTGATATAAACTAAAAAATTAAAAGTGCAAGTTTTTTGATTTGTGTTCATTATCCTGATTTGGCGCCCTGTGGGTCCATACAGGCGGCTATGAACCTATCTATATATTTACATGAGGGGGGAACCATCACCTTAAAAAACCTCCTCCCCCCTACCAAGTTTTCTATCCTGAATCCTTTGTAACCTACAGTTGTTGAGTCGGCAAAGACGAATTCTTTACCTTCCAGAGGTGCCGGTGTAATCGCTCAGTATGCTCTGCATATCTGGGATAGCCAAGAAGAATCGCATCCGAATCGAAGTCGAAAGCAACTTCAAACACATCTCCATTTGACAACTTCTCGACAATGCCTCTCTCATCATTATCATCTGAGTCCTCAACCCATCTCTAACCACGTATCATCTCGCCCCAACGACCAATAAAGAAGTTGCTCCAATTACATAGAGGAGCTTGCCCCATTAATCTCTAGCCATCTCTCACTACATGTTTACGACGCTATTTATACCCGTAAGGACGAAATAAAGTCGAAAAATACAAAGCCTGGGTCTTGGCTTGTGGGGGACTGTTGTTCTAATGGGACAAACAACTTGAGGAAGAACAGGCGCCTGAGATGTGGAGCGAGAGGGTGAATAGGTCTCTGAAGAGCATGCTGGTACCGATACTTTCGAGGAGTTTTCAACTTTGTATTTTTTGTGGACGCCAAGACCGAGATTCCGGCTAATTAGCCAGGAGGGCTTCTTTTGTCGATGAGTCAACGGCACTCCCCAGCGCCCTGTACGGTACAAAAGAAGTTGAGCTAAGCTGCCATACAGCAATCACGCTCTGTCAAGACTTTTCTGACATTTCAGCACGACCTTCGGGAAGGAGTTGGGAGGAGGCTAGAAAGGCAGAGTGTGAATTTCCCGAGTTACCCACAAGTCTGCAGTGCCCAGCTGGCCGGCCTCTTCGAACGCATCAGAAGGGGCACTATGTCTTCAGATTTAGTCCTAATGTCGGTATTAGGATAGCTCCGCACCCAGTGGCTTTTTGCGATTTTCCCGGCTGCCATACACCCGCAAATGGCCATCGTTTCGTTGACTAGAGAGGGGAGATAATGAAGGGATAAGGGCTCCTCTTAGTGTATGATCGAATGAGGACTTGTGAGGTGTGGCAATTTTTGAAGAGAGCTGTATGGGAGGTATAGGAGGGGATATACTACTGGTATAGGTATACTTGGCCTATAGGCAGAGAGGACCAGCATGCCCTACATAGTCATAGACTCCGACAGGACAATAAAATGAATTAAAAATAAAATACAGTTGTTGAAATTGGCGCTACTTGGCAATGAAGAGTCGCATTAATACGAAACGGAATAAGGTTCTATTATTACTAGCCACATTCATAACGACTCATACATTGATCAGCCTCCCAATTATTTAGCAAAAGCAAGTGAATCGTGTCCTTCACTTAGATGTAGTATTTAGTTTAAATAGCGCTCTGATACTAAGTGGATTTAATCAACAACTCTCCATTACAGTTTTCAGACTCTTCAATCTCCCAACTCGCTGTTACGGCCTTGTATTCCAGACATTAGGAGCCCCTGATACTACTGTTCCTTTCGGGTATTGTGTTGTGATCCTATATGCGCACGGACCGGTTGTATATTATGTATATCTCTAGATACCTCTTGTTATCTTCTTCCCCTAGTTTAGAATCTTATGAAATATATTCCTGAATTGAGTTATTATCTGATTCGAGTTTATCATACAGTAACCTGTGCTCTCCTCCGATCGTCACACTCGCTTCACTAGGTGATATAAATACAAGCCCAACAGCTTACGCTTCTCTATACAACTTCCATTACAACAACAGGAAGTGCAATGGGCCTTAAGTCCAAGACAGGACTGGCTAAAGTTCAAATTTACCTCGCCATCCTCTCCCTGCCCTCGCGTGTCGAAATGTGATAACTGTGGTCTTGAGTTTGACCCCGATGGTATAAATAGTTGTGGTTGTGGATTGACCAGGGGCTGTTTACGCGGGCGTCCTGGCCCTCTCTTGAAAAACCCTGGCTTTTGGTTGGACACAAGTGTGAACCCTTGGTCATCCAATTGTTTTGCCGCTCTTTTTGATTGTGTTGCCGCTGGTAAACTTCCATCCCCTCTTAAATATACGTTTCTTTCCATGAGTCTATACCTAGCCGTTTGAATGCTGGCCTTGTATGACGCGAAGTTCGGATACAACCCCTTCTGCCACGATTTATGGGCTTTACCGCAGTTGCAGCAAAGCACCGACTTCCTCGGGCAGTCTCTGGTCTGATGAGTGCCCGCACACCCACCACATCTTTCTGCCTTGTGGCACGAGGCTTGAGTGTGCCCCCATTCGCTGCAGTTGAAGCACTGGCTTGACTTACGCACGGGATGACCAGAACTGGGCCGTGTACAGCATTGAGTTTAGCACAATGCCGTTTCTTGTCACTTCGCGCTGAAGTGCCTCTGTCGGTGGGCTCGCGATCACTGATCCTCGAGTATGACCGTTTCTTACCTTCCATTGGTGCTCTTTACCGCCGTAAAGCCACCTCACCCTGTTGACTTTATGATCGTGAATCCGAACTTTTGTCTCCTCCGTTACTTGATTTATCAATGTACCGTTGTCGGCATTCTTTCCTCCTCGTAGTATTGCCCTCAATGGGACTCCTAAAATCTCAACAGGATAATCCTGCCTTATAAAACTGAACTCCTTTGGGGGAGTCATCCTCAAGGCAGCGTCTTGTTGGAAGACTGACTGCATGAACACCTCGGTATCGTTACTCCTTAACTTCCTTACAGCATATGCCCTCTCGATATATTGTTTTGCCTTGTTAAGCAGCCCTATCGCCTGCATCTTTTCTGCCTCTTCGACTCGTATCCTTACTGCTGTTTTAGTTGCCGGCAGTGCGACGACTGAGGCATAGGTTGGTCAAACTCCCATTGTTTGTGCTGACTGAGGAGCCGTCTTGCGCACTGGCTCCTCAAGACTCTTCTTAATTGTCTTCTCTAAGGCCAGCATCCTTTCCTCCATTGGCTTCGCCGACGTCTTACATTGTAACATCTG